ATATATATATATATATATATATAGTTCCTAAGTTAAAATATCAAACTGAAGTTTCTGTAGCTTAAATCATTCACAGTTTTCTTAGACACCACAATAAAATATATCTTTTTCATAAAAAAATATTAATTGAATTAGAATGAGCTGGAAGTGTCGTACATTCAAACACTTTTCTTTACTTGTAAAAATTATTGCATCATTAGATGCTAGTATGTTAAAATATTTTCTGAACTCCTATTTTCTAGTAGGTATCTGAAAAAAAACTAATCAACACTGAAATGCATTTCATTTTTGACTTTTGTTTTCATATTGGTGGCATGATTAATGATTACACCACTATACAGATTGTAATTTATAATTTCCAGTGAGATAAATATCTATTGAGGCAAAAACATTGAAGAGTAAAAGATTAGACAAAAAGTAGAATGTAATATAATTTTGTAGTATATATGTATATAAACACACATAAATACAATGAATGCAAAATAATGTCAACTACACTTAAAATAATAATAATAAAATTGTTGTGTGTATTGATAATAAAGGTGGGATGGAGCAACAGCCGTGAAAAAAAAGGTTAAATACTATTAAAACATGAAATAAAATTACCGTATTTTTTATAATTGGTGAAATAACACCGAAGGAAAATATAATGAACGTTGGGCACACATGTTAATTTTCTTTCAACATATTTATTCTTGCATATGTGTGTGTGTGTGTGTCTGAGTATATATATGTCTCACTCACACACATAGACACACAAACATATACAATTACACTAAATGATACTGATGTATCATCATCTACTCCTCAGAAATGAATAGAAACCCTATAACCCAAGCGCTTCTGAGAGATGGACCTTTTGAAAATGCTCAGGGTTGTTATTAGTTTCTATCAAGACTTCTTGAACCTACATGTTTTTCTAAAGTCATGAATCATCTACCCCTTGATGTTTTGTACCAGTGTTATTTTTTGATACAGAAGATTATGATACTTTAATTCACAACAACATTGTTATAAATATTCTCATGTTCTCCTCACAGAATTCTTCTTTCAAAGAATCTTCTGTCAGGTGTTCTACCTAATGAAGAGACTTGTAAATGCTTGAAAGTTTGGGGTTCAAATAAGCTGCTCCCAGTATACCAGGACAGAAAGACTAACTTCAGGTAACTGGGCTTGTATCAGCTTGCCTGAGTTATACTTGAACAAATCTTTAAGAGAGAGAGGAGGTTGAGAGTTTAAGAACTATTAAGGTAGGGTCATTAGTTCTGTTTAAAATCATTTTGTAAATAAAAGGGTGGATGTTGGGTGGTTATATTTCTACTTTTAAGGTTGTATCTGAGTATTGAGGGTAATTGCCTTTCAGCAGCAGGCAGTAGGAGTTGAGAGGCTGTGGGTGTAAGTACTCAACTCCTAACTGTTAACAGATTTTCAAAAGCTGCTGGCAAGTTTGACATCAGCATCTGGATTTTTGTCTGATATGTGGTATATCCCCAATGTGTTTGGGTGACATGACTACAGACATTTTCCGTTATGACTTAATGTTGACAACTAGCACTGATAATGCAAAATAATTTTTTTATTTTAGTTCTATTGCAATGTTTTACATATATATATGTGTGTGAAGCATGGTGTTACAGTATGAAGTTTTACCTTAGCTTCATTACTAACAACTGGCTTGGCAGGAAAGTCAACATCTGTAGCTTTTAAAATGGTGTTCTCTTCAAGAATAGTGGCCTGAGAAAGGTTATGACCAAAAGGCTAAAAGGAAAGCAAAATTTTTCTTCTCAAATAATGAAAAAAATAAAATAAATTCATAACCACATTTCTTCTCTAAAGCACAAGTCTCAAAAAAGTTATATTCTGTAAAACTATGGAGTTTATTGATGATTTAATATTGCAGGTTTTACAAATATGATGTAAATTAAATAAACAAACTTAAATATTAATGCCATGGATTTTAATCTAGTGATGACAAAAGACAAAAACAAACCAAAATAGTTTTGGTAAGTACAAGTACAGATTGGTCAAGCATTACAAAATAGTTTTGGTCAGTACAATTATACATTGGTCAAGTTTTACCAAACAGTATCAGTAAATATGTATATAGATTGGTTAAGCTTTAGATTGCTCAATTGTAACTACGAGCTATTCAAGAACATAACAAAATAGGGCTACAGCAATGAAAGGAATTAATATATTTCAAAAATTAAACTTGTCTGTGATTAATACTATGTAACAATGATAAAACAGTTTTAGTAGCATTGTTAAAAAAGAAACCCTCTAGACAGATCAATTTAAAAATTTTGAAAACATTAGAAAAAAACAATTTGTTACTGTCATGAGCAGGTAAATACAACTCAAGAAAAGGAATACTAGTCAAATTATTAAGACAACATTAGGCAAACTAATTAACAGAAAATATAGTTTTAAAATAAGTAGACACTGTTTGAAATTGTGAGGAATTCATCACATTTTTTTGTATTTTGATTTTAGAGTATCTGGCAGAAAAAGTTTTAACAGAAAATGTCAATTCTTACATTTAGAATTGTACTCTCAGAGGTACAGTAAATAGGTTGTAAATTAAAGTTTGAGAATATAATATCAATAACTTGAAGTATACAGATGACATAGTGCTAAATGCTGAAAATGAGAAAATTATTCAAAAATGGTAAATATAATTAATGATGAAAGTAAAACAAAAAGACTATCAACAGCAAGAAAACTGAATGTATGGTATCATCTAAGAAAAGTAATATCCCAAAATGCATCATTAAAAATGTTGGGACAAAAATCAAACAAGTTCACTGTTTCAACTATCTGAGTTCATTAATAACATCAGATGGTAAATGCATAGATGAGGTTACAAATAGAATAATGCTCTTCAAAATACAAAAGCTATATCGACAAACAAAAAATATATCAAAAGAAGGAAGAGGAAATGCCTTACAATGTCACATTGAGTCCATACTTATGTACTGATACAAAACAGACAATAACAAAGGAAGTTGAGAGAAAACATGAAGCAGCTGAAATGTGGTTCTTAAGAAGAATGCTGCAAGTATCATGAACTAAGAAGAACATTAACGAACAAGCACTGATACAAGCCAACAAGAAAGAGACAAGGATGAGTTCGTAGTCCATGTGATGAGGAAAGAAAAAATGAAACAATGTTAACAACTGGCAAGATAGAAGGAAAGAAAAACAAATATGAAGAATAAAGATGCTTGATGGACTCATAAAATAGTTAGAATTGTTGAAGAACACCAAAGACAGAGAGACATGGAAAGCATGATTGTTAATGCCTGGAGAAGAAGCAGAATATATTTATTTATTCAATGAAAATGTTAACAAAATATATTTTATAAGTTGATTAAGAAAATGTAAATTCTCAACCGCTTTGCTGAAAAAAAAAGTACTTCATGAACAGGTTTTAAACCATTCGTTTTCATACATCATGTAGAGCTGTTCAAATAGCAGGAAATAAAGTAGAAACGGTAAAATAAAAAAATATTCTGGCTAGGAAAGTGTTAGCAGAAAATGAAGATTCAAAACTGATATTTATGAAAACTGCCTTACCTTCCTACCGTATAGACACTGGTAGAAAATCACTCCAACACTCCAAACATCAACTTTGGAAGAAATTTTAGGAGGAGTTTTGCCAACAACAAAACACTCTGGAGGAAGATACCTGAAATTAAAACAAAATTAAATTACCAGATAAAACTATTCAACACAGTTTTATGCTTTTTTTCTAAATCCTTCTGGTGACCTAAGGTTTTTATAATTGTTTCTGTTTGGGGGTGGGGGAGTTCTATGAAACCTTTTTAATGAATAGAAGTGCCAAACACAAGCCTACATTTTAGAAGCCCATATTAACCATTCTAAGTAGCATGCATCAGAAAAATGGAGTCAGCACCAACCCTCTCCTTCCTGTATAGTTTGGTAGATTTTCTATTTCTCCAAACTGAATTGAGTTTTTGGTCCAAAATAATAACTCACCATTAATAGACAGATTCTAAAAATGAATTTGATAGTTGGAGTTAAAGTGTCTTTGGGAGAAAAATTAAAATAGATTACTACAATATGAGCACTTTCCTAAGAAGATGGTTAGTATATTAGCTTGCAAAATATATGAAGCTGAACTCTTGTATTTTATTATAACAACTATACGTATTGATTAAATTACAAAAACTATCAACATTAGACCTTGGTCAATGGGGTCATTATCATCTTCTATGAACAAATTTTATATCTCAAATGAATTTAAGATTTATCCAAGTGATTCTGATAAGTAGGTACACATGTAGCACATTAAACATCAAAAATACAACAAATATTTTCTAAAGCAAGAGATCAAGCAAGTGAAATGTAAAGATAGAGATGTTTGCAATCCTGCATTTCAAGAAACGTTGAGGAATTTGTCCACTATTAGCTTGTACTTAATCTTGTCTCTCATAATAACAATGCTACCAGTTTTTATCACTGCTTTTGAGCCCATTAAGGTTTTTTGACATAATAGATTGTTAATATTGCTGTTTCAAGTTGATGAAAAATCACATGAAAAAAAATACATTTATTATCCCCTCCCACCCCAACCTTCCCGGATCCTGCATACTAATGCTGCAAATACATGAATTGTTTAATTGGCTTTTGAATACTTATTTATGTACAGTTCTTTGTAAATGAATTAAACTGTAATAACTAGTCACCTATTCTCATCAATGCAACATGCTTAATTGATAAGAGGCTGACCTTCTGACTAATTACTTTAAATAATATCAACTTTCATTCTACAATGCAATCAATGTAACCGTAACACCCATCATTTCACGTGTATTTTTCTTAAGTTTTCCAACAGATAACTAAAAAATTAATAATAACAAATTTTACCCTGGATTATAATAATTTGTCATTTGTTCATGGCTCACATTTTTCCATTTTTATGGTTTGAAATTTCCTTCAGAAGTGCTTTTTATGTATGTTGTCCACATTGAAATAAAGAAAACAATGAATATTGGGACCAAACTTTCCTGTCAACATCAGCTATTATTCAATAAAGTCAATACTGAGAAAACAAGACACTTTTTGCTATAGTAAAGAGAATCAAGGAATGGGAATTTATAATGCAGGAAGTTGATTAAAGTGGGTAGCACTGTACACAGTTATTTTTTCATATCTAGAAAAATTTACTAAATAAATTAGTATTATAGTATTGTTTATTAATAAATTTTGTAATAGGCTGATACAAGGAAACCTTTTTTCTTTCCTTTTACATAATCTGGTCTACTACAGTGGAACAGTACATGCAACTGAAAGAAGTCAGTCTTAGTAATGCTCTGTTATACACTTCTGATGACAGTAATCCATCCCATTGCATGTTCTTAGATATAAATAATAATCCATACAATTCTAATTCTATGTATCAGGCAGTAAGTCACGAGATGTGAAAATGTGAATACTGAGACCTAAATATAATATCTAGGATAAAATTAAGCATTCAGTTAACCATGCTTAACGTTAAAAGTGTCAAATTGGAGTTATGACATTCATAAAGAGAAAGTTGAAGATGTCAAAAACCACAATCAATTACCAATATGTCCCAGCACCCTGAGAAGTTAGGTCCATGCCATGTTCAGGGTTATAGTTTTCATCATCCATGACTTTACTTAGGCCAAAGTCTGTGATCTTGATTCCTCCACTAGTTGTTCCACTATCCAGTAAAATGTTCCCTTTGGTGAAATAAAATATATGTTCTTCAAGTATGTGAGGACAATAAACATCAAATGACCTAAGAATAATGGAAACATTATGGGAATAATAAACAGAGGAGTTGTAATAAACGAAAACTTTTGGAACAAATAAGGAATGCATTGTCATCTGGTTGGTAAATCTGTAGATAATACACTCACCAGGTTTGAGATCATAATGAATGACTGGAGGTTTGATTTCATTCAAGTATTTGAGAGCATGAACAATTTGCATGATAATACACCGGGTTTCTTTCTCTGGGATGCTTTTGTGCTGCTTGAGGTAGAAGTCAAGGTCATGGCCACCACAGTAACTAAGAACTGTGCAAAATCTATGAGAGCAGCAAAACAGTAATATTAAGAACCTAGAGATAAAACTCTAAGAAGAGTCTATATAGATGGTTTTCAGAAATGAATACCAACTGATCTATAACAACATAAAGCTCACATAGGATTTAAAGAAACATTCACAAAGTAAATGTTTAAAAACATATATTTTACATAGGGCCTAGAAAAGTAGCACAAAGTAAACGTATAACAACTTAAACCTTACATGGGACCAAGAGATCTATGAAAGTACAAGCCCAACAAGAACAGACACAGTGATCCCATTTAAAAACAACTGAATATAACAAACATACACTTCTGTGAAGATCTTAGAAAGTTGTAATAAAAAGTTAATGTGTTTTATACAAAAAAACTAAATGTGGTAACAATATAAACCAGATCCTAGAGAAGTGACAACATAGTGAATTGCTTGAAAAAAACTAAACATAAAAGTAAAATTAAGTGTGTACATTCATATAAAACTTTAAAATGAGTGATCAAAAGCACAAAAACAGCTTGAAGGTTTAAAGTTTGTGATACCAAGGTAGTGAAGTGGAACAAGGTTCTTCTCATAGATAGTTTTTTGCACAATTGTTAGCAAATTAAAACAATGCATGTGACTCAGTAATAATATTTTAAAAGAATCAAATATTTCATTTTTTAAGGTTCCTTACTGTTTATATTAATCTGTAGAAGGTAGCTACAAGTTTAAGTTATTATTACAAAAACTGTAGTATTAAACCAGATAGTGAGTTTTGAAAACTGTCCATACAGATAAATTTTATATAAACAATGGTGAACTGTTACTGTACTGGTGTTGGTTACTGTACAAGTTTGACATGAGGATATCATTTGTGTTTTACTTACAACTTTATAATCTCATAAAGATACTTAAAGCTAAATAATAGGACTTTGGTAACTTATGAAAGTATATAGGAACACAGACCATTAAAACTGAAAAAAAAACAAAAAACACACACATCACATCTTAGTTTTAAATTGTTCCAAACAAATGTCCAATTTTAATTAACACTTAATAAAAAAAAAATCAAGTGCTGTCAGTACTGTTAAAGCAAAGAAAAACATTTTTTCCCGATTAATATTCTTATATTTTCAACTTACGAATTTGCATCAATCTCGAACACATCATAGAGTTTCACTACCCTTAGGTGATCTAAAGCCTTGTGGATGTTGTACTCTCTTAAAGCGTGCCTGTTGAGATAACATTACTGTAGCTAAATAATTGTTTCTAAACGAAATTCCTCTGAAACTTGAGTGGATTTTCCAATTAAAGTAACAAATCAAGCATACTCCAGCAAAATTGCTTACAATATTTTTTTTAACATTTAATCTCATTAACGTAACTTGATTAGGAACCAAATGATCAGAATCGTATATATATATATATATAACTCTAATTCACAATATTACAATAAATAAATGAATTGCAATGCCAACACTCTACTGCATCTTTGTGTTGTTTAATGTGTAATGTGATAACATAACAAAACAGATTATTAAAACCAACATTAGCTGCTCCTAAAATGTTTACCTTTTTTTGTCTATTTCTGTACACATTTGGCACTTAAATCCAGGGTAAAGCACTGATAAATCTGTATAATTTGCTACTCAGATCGAGGGGTAAGCTAACTGCGTTAGGCAAGGCAATGATAAACCTGTATCATTTGTTACTTAGATCGAGGGGTAAGCTAACTGCGTTAGGCAAGGGAATGATAAACCTGTATCATTTGTTACTTAGATCGAGATGTAAACCACTTTCATCAGACAAGACACTGATAAATCTGTATTATCTGCTACTTAAATTAAGAGTAAGATAATTTCACCAAATAAAGCATAAATACTCTTGTGTCATTGTAACTTAGATAAAGAAGTAAACTACTTTCGTCAGGTATATACTGAAACATTAGTATCGTTTTATACTTAGATACAAGGTGAAGTTAACGTCATTAGACAATGAACCAACACATCAACATTATGCTTAATTTTAAAAAATATATTAAATTGGCTGAGCAAAGTATCAGAACAACATCTGCTATTAAATCCAATGGTAAAGTTGATTTATTCACAGGAAATTGGTTAATAATTTTATCTGCAGTTAAATCCATGGTAATATTAATATAGCTAAATTATGTATAAAAAACATTTATCTTGGCATTCCATTCATAAACAGTTTAGGTGTTACTTTTATAAACATTAAATCTGTTTTTTTTTCTGTCATTAAGCATAAAGCTACAAAATAGGCTATCTGTGCATGTGCTCATCATAGGTGCCAAAGCCTTTTTAGAAATATGCATTCCTAATATGTTCAAAGAAATTTATGGTAAATCATGATGTGAAGATGAGTGCTGACTTCATAAGAAAACAAAGTCTTCAATTCTTTTCACTACATTTAAAAACTTACTTTATGTAGTTTGCCTTCTTATCGTCTTTCCAGTCCTTGTTTAGTTGATGTATCTTACAAGCTACATAACGCTGTTCCTTAAGGTCAAATGCCTAGAGAGACACAAAGTGTATTAAACATTAGGCTGAAATGGTCCAATAATATCTGACGTCACTTAGAGGATCATCCAGTATTAAATAAGATTCTTATTTCATTAGTCCATATGAGAAAACTGACCTCTGAAAAAACAACAACATTATATCAAGTGCAAAGTGCTAATTGTAGTGTTTTACGAGACATATATGTGCTAAACAATTACCTCTTATTCCATCGTAAAGATCACACTAGTTTTTCACTGTTCTATTTCCTCTTATTAAAATTCACAAATGATAATGTAACTATAAGTTTTTATGTGGATCCTGGTAACAACTACATGATGAACAGATCTAATTATTTCATATTGCAGGCAAAGCTTTTCAATCGTCTAAAAGTGATTTGATGTAATATATTACACATAATTATACATTCATACAGAAATGGAATAAAACTGAGTGTCCAGATCATGCAGGTGACTTACCTTATGAACTTCACTAAACCCTCCTTTTCCAAGCAAAGTTAAGAGAAGATATCTTTCATTTAGCACTGTATGATTGTTAAACCTGTTGAAAAAAAATACACATCATTGCCTATACAATATCTCATTTTTCTAATAGAAATTAATATAAAATGTATATCTTAAAGATTTACAGTTTGTTCTGAGAGTTAAATAATTATTTAAAGCCACAAAATCTGTTATAGATAAAATTATAAAATCGTCACACAGTACATTCTCAATTTTAGGAGTTAATCAAAAATTAAATTTTAGAAATGTAGCAATATGAAAATTGACTATTTAACTCTTTCAGCACAGGCTCGGTCCCTGGGACCAACCTCGTAACCATTTTGTGCTTGTTATAGTTTTCGTGCTATAACTTTTATATTAGTAAGCAAATGTTAACAAAATTTGGCAGGATATCAGTAAACATTACAATACTTTCATACATAAAATATAATTTTTTTTTTTTATTAAGTCTTAAGGTTTATAAAGCAATGTTTTTCTTATGTCTTTTTTATCTTTTCACATGTTGCCTATCTATCATGCAAAGAAATATTCATTTTAAGATTAAAAATACTTTTAAGCATCAGAAAATTTTGAAATTTCACATGCAAAATCTTTATAATGTCAAGATAGTTATCAAATGTTTCATATCTGTTATTTTCAGTAATTAATCAATGTACGGGTTCAGTAGATTTGACTGATCTCGCAACCACCATAAAAAATTAGGAAGTAAATACAAATCATGCCTTTTTCATTCTAGAATGAACACAAGTTATAACATGAAAACATCAATGTTTAGACTAAATAGCTTAAATCTCATAACATTATACATTTATTATTTGTATTATATTGACCTTTCACCCATGCCTGGCTAACAATATAGAAGTTACAACGACTCATGTTACGGTATCAAATGACAAAGTTGAGCTTTGGTCTGTACAAAGTAACTTGTCTTGGCTGTGTTTTGGTCGACTAGTATTTTGAGCAGACTAAAGGCACACCCTACCTCATTGAAATATTGGTTCAAAAGAAAAAAATGGCACCAACTCTGCTATAAATGGCTGAGAAAGCCACTAAGGGGACATTCTTAGCTTTCGATTCGTTATTCATGTCATATACAGAAGTAAGTGTATATAAGGGAGCATTTTCAAAAATGGAAAGAGGTGGGTGGATGCCACTGTGTTTGACTCATTACATGAGCAATATCTTAGCAAATTGAAAAGATATGAAGCTATTATTTTATATTCTAGCTTATCAATATTGGTAATTTGAGTTTCTAATTTGTTCAAAACTATAGACTTAGTATTTTGGCTTCACAAATATCTAATATGAACCAGTGCTGCATTCAACATGCTACGTGACACATAAAAATCAATGTTTATTTGTTTTTTAATATTTGCTTTTAAATTAAGAAATTGAGTAATATATATAGTACTAAAATTGGAATTATAACCTACAGTTTGATACCAAACTTATTGACATAAATTCAAAAAATAGTAGTTCAATAAAATTTTGAATACAAGTCAACAAACGAGATGACATGGCCTTTCACCCGTGACCCATCTTGGAAGGGTTAATTGGTAGTTAATAATTCACTGATTACTTCTCACATTTTTTCAAGTAGTACCAAATCTGTTACTGATGTTATTATGATACAGATACACACACACTTGATCTCTCAAAAACAGTTTACTGTTTAAAACGGCCTTGTAGAACTCTGGTGATCCCATTAGTTTCTGTTAGACAGATTTCACTATATATCCTTGGTTGTAAAGAAAGATAAACAAGTAAAGCTGTAGTATACTCATTCTCAAATCTCTAGCCTTGGACTGTTTGACTACACCACCTTTCAAAGTATGAAGGCATAAAAGAGAAATGATTACATCACAATGGAAATCAATCACTTTTGGATGTAGGTTTGTGGTTCTTGTAACATTTTATACTACCATGAAACATTAGTAAAAGTTGGTTGACTGTACCTTGACTGGTCTTCATTATGTAGTCGCTTCAATTCTCTAATGTGAAGGTTTCTCTCTCTTTCTAGCTTCTCCAGCTCCAACTGTAAATCAGCATCCTCTTTCTTTAGTGCTGCCTGCCTTAGCTTGAGAATCTCTTCCTGTTCATAGTAGTCATGCCAGGTGCGCCTGAAGGTTACACATACATATATATATCATGGGTAAAACATATAGATTAAGAAATGTAAGTTAAAAAACTTGTAAAATACTCTATGCTTTGGCAGAAGTAAATTGTTTATAAATTAAAGAATGATCAGAATTACTTGTTGAATGTCTACATGTAAAAACAGTGGTTGTTACAATAAAACCAATATATCAGCATTATGACTTATTACTTATTTTCTGCAATGTTTTGAGCAGATGCCACTTCGTCAGGTAGTAAAGATGAAGAGTGTCTAATTGAAATGTCGCAGAAAATTAACTTGAAAAAGTTTTCATTTGGATGTGTCAATATATTCTATATTATCATTTATTCAAGTTTTTTTCTTGTGTCTTGCAGAACAACACTCATTCACAGATATGAATGAGGAATGTCTCTGATTCAAATAGTAACCCAGAAATACCATTACATTCCACTTACACTTTAGCACAAGTAAAACAAACAAATAAACTGTAGATAATAAATCCAAAGTGCTACCTTGCACACCACACAAATTTAAGTAAACTAACAAAAAAATTTTAATTCTATTTTACCAATATTTAACCGAAAAATAGTTTGAAAGTGATATTTTGTTATTCTTCAAAATTTAATCAGTATAATTCCCAAAGAAAGATAATAATGAAAAAAAAACTTTCTAATTTTTATTTCTGTGCAGCTCAAAGGAGTCTTTCACCTGTACACAACATATTTAATTTTTTTAAACATTTTATTCTAGTACTAAAGCATTTATAACATTTTTGAGAAGCTACCATCCCTTGAGAATATAATTATACATGTGCTGTTTCTCATGTGATTGCCCTTCTAAGTTAACTCTTTCAACCCTGGGAATGACCTCATAACCATTATATGCTTGTTATAGTTTTCATGCTATAACTTTTAAATTAGTAAGCGAATGTTAACAAAATTTGGAAGTTTATCAGTAAACGTTACAATGCTTTCATACGCAAAATATATAATTTTTTTTATTAAGTCTTAAGGTTTGTAAAGCAACGTTTCTCTCATGCAAAGTAATTTTCATTTTAAGATGAAAAATACTTTTATGCATCAAAAAATTTTGAAATTTCACATGTGAAGTCTTTATAATGTCAAGATAGTTATCAAATGTTTATTATCTGCTATTTTCAGTAATTAATCTCTGTATGGGTTCAGTAGATTTGACCGATCTCGCAACCACCATAAAAAATTAGGAAGTAAATATAAATTATGCCTCTTTCATTCTAGAATTAACACAAATTATAACACAAAAACAAATATGTTTAGATGAAATAGCTTAAATTTCATAACTTTACACATTTATATATATTTATTATTTGTATTATATTGATATTTCACCCATACCTGGCTAACAATACAGAAGTTATAATGATGCAGCTCATGTGCACTTATGTTACAGTATCAAATAACATAAGGGTGACCTTTGGTCTGAGCAAAGTAACTTGTCTTGGCTGTGTTTTAGTTGACTAGTATTTTGTAAAATACAGTATATATATATATATGTATATAGGTTATTGCTATTTAGAAATAAGTTCTTAAACTTATTTTTCTTAAAACATAGAACAGTAAATAAAGAAGTAAAGCAAACAATTATCTCTTCTAGTTACGACCTTTGTACTTGGTTGCTGCTTGACATAGGTTGCTAAGCCTTTAAAAAAATTGCACATCGAGGATATGAAACAAAATATTCTTTTTAAGGTTTTATAGATATGTTTGAATAACTAAAATATAATAAATTATTACATTAATACCACAGAATTCCACTACAATTTATCAAGCTTAGTAACTAAGATGTATTTTAGTCTAAAAAATATGGAATTTTAAGCAGACTAAAGACACAACCTTCCTCATTGAAATCTTGATTGAAAAGAAAGAAATGGTAGAGGGAATGTTAGAAAGGCTGAGAAAACCACTAGGGGGACATCCTAAGCTTCCGATTGGTTATTTATGTCATATATAGAAGTGTATATAAGGGGCATTTCCAAAAATGGAAAGAGGTGGGTGGGGTGCCACTGTGTTTGATTTATTACATGAGTAATATCTTGGTAAATTGAAAAGATAAGAGGCTCTTTATTTTATATTCTAGCTTCAATATCAGTAATTTGAGTTTCCAATTCGTTCAAAACTAGACTTAGTATTTGACTTCACAAACATCTAATTTGAACCAGTGCTGCATTCAACATACCACGTGTCACACAAAAATCAATGTTTATTTGTGTTTTTTTAATATTCACTTTTAAATTAACAAATTGAGTAATATATAGTTGTAAAATTTGAATTATAATCTACAGTTTAGTACCAAACTTATTGAAAAAAATTCATGAAATAGTAGTTCAATAAAATGTTGAATGCGAGTCAACATAGCCTTTCACCTGTGACCCGTATCAAAAGGTTTAATGGTTCTATTAATAAAGCTTTTTTGTTCCCACCCTTCTCTGATGTCATAGCATGTGGTTTGAACACTTACTAATGAAACATTGCTTTGAAAATAGCTACATGCAATCTTTACATACAATTAGAGATAATACACTGTTTATGTAGAGCAAATAAAGTGGTTTGTGTAGTAATTTATGTTTTATAGGACAGTGACTAGCTGGAGCCTCCTTCAAAAGTGAACAAAGGAATCTAATGGGAAGTTTAGAAGAATTAGGAATAAAACACAGAACTTTCAATATTATTTTGATCTTGAAAATATGTTCATATTAAATTATATAAGTGAAGAAACATAAATCACTTCTACAACAAAATATCATGTAAGCTTAATTAAGATTAGCGAATATGGTAGGCAATGGCAAAATATTCAGATGACTCAAATCCTTATTTATTTACTATTATTGTTAAGTTTATCATATCAAAATAATCTATTAATCATCAAAAAGGAAATATATCTATATTTTATATACATTGATCTCAACCAAGAATTTTATTAGTAAAAATCATGATACCTAGCCTGACAAAGGTAACATCTGAAATTAATATAAAGGTCAGGTTTTAGATTAACAATAAATCTTTGTGTATTTTATGATTCATAACCAGAAGCGGTGACTACTTTAATACACAAGTTAAATTATGAAAAGTCAAGTTGAAAATGATTGGATATGTAAAATTTAATTTTCTGATCAAGAATTAGAAAACTAGGATCAAAGGAAGCATTTCTAACATTTTCCAATGCCATTTCTTACCATCACAGTATGGAAATTTCACAACATAAAAATGATATAAATACTAAATTTAACAACACTAATATTTCAAAACCTAAACTAGATATCTAGTAAGTTTGAACTGAGTTTCATGCAATTTGTTTAAGTATTTCTACTGTGAGGAGAAAAAGAAACAACTGACACTAGTGACACTTTTTTTTGAGATGGAGAAGATTAATTGGTGATTTTATGAAAATCATAAAAATAACCTTCAATAAAAAAGTTTTCATTGCATATTTTTTAATTTTAATTTGGTGTAAGTATATAATACTTATATGCACAATATACATGCATCCATATATTTACAATTTTCCACAAAGTAAATGATAGATTACCTTTTAAACTGTAAAACAATTAGAAACTCCCGAGTGATACCATATAATGTCTTTAGTTTTATCATGCACTATTATGCTAAAAACTGCTTTAGAGCAAAAAACAAGCACACTAAGTTCCACAAAACAAAAATAACTTTTGTGTAATTCATACTTTGTTCCTGTATTTAGTAATGGAAAAGATCATCAATGTCAGATATAATTTCATTTGTACTACATCAATGGACCACTGCTAAACCTTTACATAACATTACCTGTGATGTAAAACAAACACTACAATGCTGCATATAAAAGATTTGAACATACTGAACTAAAAACATCTTAAAACGTCCAATTAAATGTAACTTGAGCTTAAAAACAAATTATCAATCATGTTGTAACTTACTCTTTCAAAGCATCGGGATTTAAGAAGTCTCCATTTAATAAAGCAGAATTCCCTAAAGTAAATTTACTCTTCTGTTGAGCAGTACTGGTTTTCTTTTTTCCTATAGACTTACGCTGTCTTTCTATTTCTTCCCTTTCAGCTGCTATTAACTCTTGTTTTCTGTACAGAAGAGAAAATTGTACATATTTTTTCCACTAATTCTAACCAATATACAAGGCAAATGTTTATGTCACTCTGAATAGAATACCAACATCCATACATATCATTCACAGATATTATACAATATTATTCCTTAACAACCTTTATATATGTTACATAAAGGTCTTAAATACATCTTTTAAACTTATGCATATAAGATTTATATTTATAATTAGTTACAATGTACTTATCATATAAAACTAAAATTCTTGTAGGAAGTATTTAGAAATGCTGAATGGGATAAAGCAATAAAAGACTGGTTTTGAAAACAGGAGAAAGAGAACAAAGCAAGAAAGAGATCACTGGGGTTGCAAAACCTTGCAGAAAATTGGACTCTATGATAAAAGTCCAATAAATGTCTCTGAAACTAAGTGCTACTGTTTGTGATATATGGGAGTGATTCAGCAATACAAGTGTGAATGAGATATTAGCTGAAGCAACTCTAGACTTTTGCAGTTGATGACAAGAATGCCAGAGACATATTGGCAAGGCCAAAAAGTCAACTAGAACTTCTAATTTTCTTTACATCCAGTACAGCCCACTCACAACATGCCCTTCAAGCTTGATAAAGTCTTCAAGAAAGTATGTGGCACTAAGTAGCACTGGCTTTCATACTCCAACAAGAAAAAAAAAAAAGTGGTTTTCTAGGGTATACTTGGTGCACATAAGGTATGATGGTGATCCATTTTTTACTGGATTAAATGACTGATAGGATTCATGAGAATGACAAGTTGTGCAAACACTTTGTGATTCTGACAGAGCTAGTATTACAAGGCTTGATGTTGATTCAACCTGCAATAGAGAAAACAGGAAGCTGCATAACAATGGAAGATTGTCATATGCATAACTGAGCTTGCAAGTACCACTACAAAGCAAGGAATAAGTTATTGAGGAACAGGTTTAAATGAAGGAGCATACATGTTAGGCAATCCGAGTATCAACAATGGAAATTTTCTGCCACTCGTGGTACTACTGACAAAAAAAAAACTGCTTTTACTGTGATTATGATTAGTAACATGTCTGAATTCAGATTTCTTTGTGATTAACTTCAATTTGTGCTTGTATTTTTGATATATATTTTCATTTTTTAGGTTAAGTATAAAATATGGAATTTTTCTTATGTATATGAAACTTCTTTTAATTTAATTACTATTAGTAACAACACCAATAACAAACATCTTCTTTACACTCATTCATCAGTATATTTCTTACAACAAACTAAACACTTCACAAAACACGTTTTATGCAATAAATACCATTATTTACTATGTTCCTCATAATTCCAATATCTATAATGTTTCATATAATATGCAGACTTAATTTATTTTTAATAACAACAAAAGCCATCAAATATCATTATGCATCACCATATTTCGTGTATTCCCGAACCCAGTTTCATATAAAATATTAACATCTTCCAAATAACCAAGCATTTTTTTGAAAGCTTCACACAATGATGTTGTTATTTTGATAAGACTTTCTGTAAACATTCTTTACAGAAGTCCAATATTCATCAAACACTAAACATAGATGAGCATTTATCCAATAACTGTATTCATTATTTTTGTCATCTCTGAACTTACTTAAATGGTCTGATATTTGACAAATATTTTTAAATTTTCTAATAGAACATTAATTATGAATGGTCCCATAACTTACCACCTATATTTCTTCCTACATAAATTATTTAAATTTTAAAGAAATAATAGAATAGTTTAAAAAACTCAGATAGTATTTTTTTTTTAAAAAGTAATAATCTACAAATAATTTGAACTTTCAATAACAAAATGAGTTTGCAGTTAACATATCCAAAAAGAATCAGTTTGTAAAATCTGTATCAGTAAATATTAAGTAAAAAAATACACACTTTAACAATTCTGTGAAGGCATGTCCGTCAACCCAGTTTTCACCAAAAGTTGCTCCTTGTCTTTGGGTAACAAACTGTCCTAATCTTAACCTATTTTGCATACATTTCTGTCTAGCTTGTTTTTTCTCCATTGCAGACTAGAAATTAGAGAATAAGATAAAGCACATAGTATCAGTAAAGTAAATGTTACAATATTTATGAAGAAATATCAATGCAAACTGATCTTATAACTTATTCCAATCCAATACATTTTTCACTAAAGTAATAGTTGTCCAATATTAGTTAAGAAAAATATTTTAAAAATCATACATAAAAATAAAGCACATTTTACAAACTGTTATAATGTTTAAATAATATACCTTTTCAATTAACAGTTGTTTAGTAACATCTATACACTTTGTTAATTGTTCTTTTTGCTTTTCTATTAATTTCTGTTGAGCTTGAAGCTGTCTTCGGAGTTCCTTATTAGCCTGAAAAAATAATTAAATACTAAATTATTAGAATCTAACTAAATTTTCTGATACTGTTTAAAGATATATATACATATATATATCAATTAGGAAAGGAAAGATGAACAACAACAGAATACTCTAATAAAATCTTGGTAACTATTAGGTACACAAACTTATGTTTACATCATTCTAATGCTTAATGGTAATTGTTTTTAAATTACATGTCTTAATTATGCATGTGTATTTTTCAGTTAACATTATTAATTATTATTTACTATGATTAAATATCTATATCATTTAGTTAACGTTAATACTTACAGTTTGTATGTGCAACTTTTGTAACTCTTTCAGTTTATATTTTTTTCATCATTTTAATAATGAACTTTGCTGTGAAAAATACTCAATGTTTCTAAGTGCAGTTCAGTTAATACTATTGTATACAGATAGAGTCTGAATGCTAAAAAAGTGACTTGAAATTAGATGCTAGGCACTGATAATGTTCTTACGTTTAAATGGAGTCTTTTTCACATGTAGCATGCCATCTCACAGTCACATAACAGTGTCAAAATATATTTGTAACATAGCTATTATCATATAGCTGTTTATACCTAATCTTTAAAATTAATCTTCAGAAAATTTTATACTAGTTTTCTTTGTGATCAGAACCTTTGGATATACTTGTATGTATATGTATAAATAATGATGAGCATGAAAATTACATGATACTACTGTTTTTATTTGTGATCCTTTTGTAAAATATGGTGAATAATAAAACAAACTTGTTACCCTTTGTAATTCATCTATTCTGTTATCTCTGATTTCAAGGTCCATAGCTGATTTACTTTCCACCTCCTTAATCTTGACATTAGTCAAATCAGTCTGGACTATCCTGTGGTAAATTTGTACTGGTCGTTGGGAAAGAAAAAGCATGTTGGAGTAGTCTATGCTATTACTCAAACTTGCTTGAGGAGAGATTGAGTTACCCTGTGTAATATATAACAACAGGTGTTGTATAGTACCATGACTTACAAGAGGTGAAGTTGAGATATTTTGAAGCATACATGTAAATATGTGCATATATTGTCATCATGAGCTAAACAGAAAATAAATAATTTGGAATACATGGCACTTCCTTGAACTATGCTAAAAATTATGCTATATGTTATAAATCGGATGTAAATAGTACTGCCACTCCATGTTCCTAAAAACAAAGGATAAAGATGTAAACTAAAGTGCAAATATAAAGTAAAAAATAAATTATAAAAACTTTGCCAACTCTCGTAAGGATAAATTGTTAATATTGAAAAACCTAAAAAACTGACTGAGGATCTCTTCTTGATGCATTTGTATGGCACTCTTTGTGCCATATCTCTAAACACAGAAGTTTGAAGGAAAGACCAGGCAGATCTAGACTTCTTGCCATAGACAACCAACAATCCATGCACACTCAAACACCACAATAGCACGTTACTAATAAGGAACCTTAAATAAGGAAGCACATTATGCTAATATAATAACAGGTAAGTAAACAGTGATATATATGCATAAGGAAGAATTTTATTGATGGTGGAACATACTACATGTCCTGTTTGCCTAACTATTATAATAAGTAACCATTATATCTGAGGTAAGTATAATTGTCAAAATGTGTGATTAAAAATCTCTTTTACAAAAAACCATCAAGACTACAAGAAGATGAGACTACTAGTAAAAAAGAAAGCACATCTTTTACCTAATGTCTTATTCTTTACTTTCTAAAATATGCATCTACTTATGAATAATTAGATCACAGGGATACTACTCAGTACAGTTCACATCTTACTTTTTTTTCTAGAATAAGAATTGCAGTCACGTTTTATGACAAATTTCTACAAACACACACATAATGTACAGTTACTGTTATTGTATTAAACACACTATGAAATACTACAATAAACTTTTTCTCGAGGACCATGAAACAAAAATTTAACTTAATAGTCCACTCTCACACAAATAATAAGAAAATTACACTGCAAATGCACTGTGTATCAATGATAACTACAATCTTAAGCCTTCCAATATTTGTAATCCCTAATATTAATTCAAATTGTGTATTTGTCCTCGAATTCCTCCAACACGCTTGGAGCTAGCAGGACCAAACTTGGGGGGTTTAAACATACTCAGACGGCCACCCAGGCATTGTGAGAGTATAGGAGAATTCAGGGTTGTTAAAATTAAATCTGACATCCAATTTTGTGATCCGAGCCCCTCCTACGATCCAAGGGGTGCCATGATTGAAACTCTGTTCATACCCTCATCCAAAAGTTAAAGGGTCCAAATGAGAAACTTGAGTTCAGTTGTCACAGGCAGGTATTCTAACGAGGTTTGTTTTTGAGTAGCCACAGAATTGATAATAATAGAGGAGCTTGACTGGTACATTTAAGATTCTGTGAATCATGAAAAGGAAGGCCTTTATGATAGTCAATTACAGCTTCTGAAGCTATGACAACTATGGAAATTGTAACTCAAACCTCTGTCTATGTAATCACTGAATTAAAATTATGTATGGGTATCAATATTTATAGGACACATGAAATAAATCTGGACTAGATATACAGTTGTGTAATAGAGAGAGCACTAATTTCTTGCTTTACGACATATAAGATTATTAAAATTTTGGTGGATCTAAGTTTGTCTTTTCAATACGATGCTTTTACCAGTTGATAAATGATCTAACTGACCTCAATCAAATTTGGTAGTTTAAACCAGTACCAAGAAACAGTTTTATATCTGTACTAATTATTCATCAATGTTAATTACTATATAATAGGTAAAATATTTACAATCTTACACGTGATAAATAACAGTCACTCTTTCAAATATCATTCATAACCTGATGATGACCTAAGGAGGTCAAAACATTGTTATTTGTTTTGTGCTTTCCATATAAGTTTTTTATGCCAATATCAGCCATCTTTACCATATATATATGTATATAAAACAATAAAAGTAACCAACAATATTATTAACTATATAAACAGTAGTGATAAAGCAAAATATGATTGTATTGTTGACTTAAATTAACTTAAACTCTTGGTTTTATGGTAATATTCATAATTTTTGGTGCTCTTTTATACATTACATTCTACTTTTAAAAATTTAGCATTTTTGTTCTTGTATTAGAAGGGCTTCTTCTAATTATTTGTTTGTTTACTTTGGTTTCTTTATTTCATATGTTAGTGTTTTCTATGGTTATACTGTGGTTATTTGAAATACAATGTTTAAAAAATTTATTTATTTTAATTTAGTTTAGAGGATGGAACAGCCGAGATGAACCAATAGGTCCCATGTTGTTCCAAAATATTATACCTCCAGATAGCTATACTTATTTAATGACTTAATTTTTTAAACTCCAACAAATGAAACTTTTATATCGCTAATAAACAACGTTTTTTTATTTTTTAAACACACAATATTGTACTTAAGTACACAAAATCAACTTCCATCTGTGTGATAGCAATCACCGAATGCATGACAAGGTATAAACATTCATGAAAAAACAAAAAATTCTACAACAACTCACCAGAAAATATGTTTGAGAAGTTGGTGATTTGGACCCCCCATAACGACTAGAGCTAAGGCCTTGAATCTACAAAAGAATAATGAAAAAAAATGAAAAGTATGAAAATAAGGGTATTTTTCCACAAAAAATTACAGTGGAAAAATTGAATAGATGTTAATTTTCTACTGTTCCTTCTATTTAAATATGACTCATGACTCCTATATGCACACTCTTGTATAACACATAAAACTGTTTTTATTGAAGTCCATAAGAAATGTACATTTAAGTACAACCAACCATTTCACTATTAGGTGTGGGATTTTACTACATGTAAAATTGAATAGTACCCTGATTACAAATTTCAGGGAAGGCAACTTTTATCCTAAGAGTTTTAAAGGAACTTAAAGATTTTATTTGTGAACCACTAGCTAATATTTTTTCTATAGGTCATTGAGTAGTGGAAGAATATCAGAAGATTGGAAGTTGGCTCATGTTAGTCCAATATTTAATAGAGGTGATAACCATTGTCCAGGCAATTATAGGCCAGTTAGTCATACATCAATAGTTGGAAAGGGTTTGGAGAGTGTGATTAAAGATGCATTGCAGAGTCATTTAAATCAATTTGATATAATGTAAAAGAGCCAGCATGGTTTCACTGAGGGAAAGTCTTGTTTAACAAATCTTCTGACATTCTTTGAGGATGTTACTGCAAGAATTGATGAAAGAAATACTGTGGATTTGATTTACTTTGATTTTCAGAAAGCATTTGATAAGGTGCCTCACAAAAGACTTGTTACAAAAATTAAATCTGTGGGTGTGGGGAAATGTTATTAAATTGGATAGAAAAATTGGCTGGAGAGTAGAAAGCAGAGAGTAGTAATAAATGGAGTTAGGCCTGACTAGATCACAGTTAAAAGTGGTGTGCCTCAGGGCTCTGTGCTGGGTCCTCTGCTGTTTGTGATTTATATTAATGATATTGAATCTGGAATGACTAACAGAATTTTGAAGTTTGCAGACGACATTAAGATTTTTGGGGTGGCTAACTATATCAAAGATGTTGCAGACTTACAGGGAGATTTAGATCATTTGATGCATTGGGCTAATACGTGGCAGATGATGTTTAACTATCCAAAATGAAAGATGATGCATGTAACTTTTTCACAATTCAAATTATTGTTACAACTTAAATGGGAATACTTTGGTTGAAGAAAAAGATCTCAGTGTTGTGAATGAAAAATCAAATAGGATTTTGGGTAGCATCTATAAAAATATTGAATATAAGACAAGTGATATTATTGTTTCACTGTATAGATCACTTGTAAGGCCTCATTTAGAGTACTGTATACAGTTTAGGGCTCCCTTCCTCAAAAAGGACATTGAACTGTTGGAGAAGGTTCAGAGAAGATCACAAGGATGATACCTGGGATGGTGGGATTATCCTATAGGAGAGACTAAAATCTCTATACTTGTTTTCTCTGGAGAGGGGAAGGGTCAGAGGGGATTTGATTGAAGTATTTAAGATTATTAAGGGTAGTGATAATATAGATCACCAAACGTTTTTGTGTTTAGCAGTGAAAACAATATGACAAGGGGCATAAATTCAAATGTTGTCAGCTTAGGAGTTGTCTGCAGTTTAGACAGTATTACTTTTCAAACAGGGTGGTTG